TTCTAAATCCATAGCTGAATTATGGAAAATCTGTTACTAAAAACCAAAACTTTTATGAAATTAAAATTTGCGGGCCTGTGTTACCAATGTTTTAGAAGAGATCCTGCATATACAACTGTTTGATATGACAAATTCCAATGATTAAATTATGAATTTTGTTCTCAGAAAGCATGGGGATGTCAAAAATTGCTTGAAACCCTACAGCATACTATAAGGCTAAGCTCTTCTGAAGGGTGACGGTGACATTTTTTTCTACAAGTCATTCTTCATCACCTGTGTTTTTTCATAAATTTTTCTTTAAATCAAGCTACCTACATAGATCAGAACTAAAAATTAACCCAATAATTAATATAACCTTGTATACCATTCTTACATAGCCATTCTTATGTTGGATGCATTGATTCATTAGTTTGAGTACCCTTGCTTCTTGTAATGTTTTTGATCTTAATCCTGGCAACATCTTATGAGATTAAACAGTGTTGGTCAGAATACATTGCACGATGCACAAATATTTATGTAATCTCCAATAAAATGATCATCTTTGTCATTATTCTGAAGTGGTTTGCTTCTTCTGTTTTTACCTTAATCTGTAGGTAAACTGATGTTTTAGCTCCAAAGCTCATATCCACCAAGACTTCTATACTGTCTTGAAATTCCCATTTATCGGCAATAATGTTTTTGTTTTTTAAACATTCTTTATTTTGAGGTGACAACATGTTTTAAGACAGAGGGATTGCTGTTTTTGTCATCAGCCAACTAGTTGGGACTCCAGGACATATCCATCTGTTCTCTTTCAACTTCCAAGACTAGTTATGCCAATAAATTTTCTTGTCACCAAGGGTTTTACTTCATGACCCCATTCATTTGGAGTGTTTTGCAAAATTGCCAACAAAGATTTGTGTTGGCTCAAATTTTACAAACTCTCTGCCTTAACAATCAGACGACAGACAGTATAAGAAATGTTTTAATCAAACAGAGAAAGAAGTTACTGTTCCTATGATACATAGGATTGGAGATAACCTTTTCTTGGTGTAAAACTTACTTGAAATGGCACTCCTTCAAGCCCCTTATGTTAAACCAGCCTTGTAGGGGTTGAGTAGCACACTTCCCTTGGAATGTGGTTATGCTTAGTGTTGTGTACCTTGCACATTTCCTTGTCACTTTAAATATACAGTTGAAACTTCATCATATGCACAACATGCCCTGTAAGTATCAGTTCCATAATCCATAATATTCCATCTTTGGAATATTTACTTATTGTTTGTTTGCTTATTATTATCTATATATGTGAAGCAGAGTTGTCCTTATGTTTGTCTGATGTCACAATCTGTTTTCATTAACTGGCTGAATCTATTTCAATTAAATTTGATAGAAGAACTCAAGTGGACTTCCAAAGATGAAATTTAAAAGGACAAACAATTAGATGAATGGTTTGAGTTTGGCAGCCATTTCAGTTTTACTGTCTTAGTGGCAAAAATGAGGGTTTAACTGGACAAGGAGGTTGATAGCAAAATAAATGAAGCTGACACCAAATGAAATTGACATTTAATGCCGCGTATAGCATATGCACCTTTCCTTTGGATGAATGTTTTTTGTTATGGCTCGATAAATGAAAGGGGTGGCCCCATGCCCCTACTTATAGCATTACTTTTTAAGCCTAGCATTGTTGTGTACCATTGGTTGTACATTTTATATTGTGGCTTACAACTTGATATAAAACAAATATATTACTTCAGTTCTTAAGTTTGCTCAGGCTGGTAGAAACTTCTCCTGTTTATATTAAAGTACAGGTGGGTTGATTTAAAATAAAAAGTTTAATCATAATTTTTTTTCAAATTTATGAGAAATGTGCAAGTCGTAGTTGCCAAAATAAGGCAAAATTTCACAGAGTCTAGACATTGGCAAATTAAGATGTAATTAAAATTTTATCATGCAACTAGGATTGATCTCTTGGTAAAAGATAATCATGCAATTAATTGGAAATCGGGCTTGTTGTAGTTATTTCTTTTATGTATTGCGTTATGACGTTTTGTGAAAAATCTGTACGTGATGGAGAAAAATGGATATCATTTTTCGGATTCAGCGTACAGGAATTACTGTAGAACATGTAAAAATATCAAGACAATAAAACCATTACAGGCCTGTGTTTTTAATATAAATCAGCGGATGTGAAGGAAATAAAACAAAAAGTTATAAGCTTGTGACATACTATATTTGACTGCACTAGCAATTACATTTTAAAGAATTAAAAAAATGCCTATATTAATCTTCCGAATTTGATTGGTGAAAGCTTAGGTAATTACTATATATTTTATTTTCTTTTATTTTTGTAAGCTTTGAAGGAGGTGGCGACTGGTTGGACGGCAACAATATCACATTGTTACACAAATGACAAAACGTTGTTTGGTGATGTTGCAGCTGTTTCTGTAATGTAAGTACATCTATGTAATGCGCTGTTTGATGTCGTCGGTAGTATAGCCAGTCATATTAATATGTATATAATCGGATTTTTTACATGGTGAATATATGTCATAAAAAATATATATGTTACAGATTTACTAAGCAAAAACTTTAAGTAGTTAAAAAAGAACAATAGAATGTTATTTCAGTCTAAGTTTTAGAATGTTCCGCAATAATAATCCAGCAATGGATAAGGGGAAGGGGGAGGGAGAAGCTGTGGTGTTAAGATAATTGCTTTACTCTTCAGTACTAATAACTATATGTAGATATAACGTTAGAGAATCTAGTTAATTTCATTTTGTAAAAAAATATGTAGACGTGGTTGTGTTAGATAGTTTATTTCATTTAATGAGATAAAAACATTTATCTAGATTTTGTTGTTTTATGCAGTATATTTTGTTTAAATTCGTAAAAAACAACCAGTAAACTTGTTATGTTGATTAAACAAATATTCTTTGAAATATGGCTGTCTTGAAAGTAAAACCCTTTATTAATCAGTTACTGAGATTTTACGTAGCACATACAAGCCCAGTTTGGCACAAAATAAAATGTATTCATGAGCGCCGACAGAAATATTGTCGAGGTGGGGAGGGGGGGCAAACTTGTATGTAGGAGATCAGCTTTTACGGTGTAAGTCAACAGACTAAAAGAATGTGTTATATGTGGTTAAACGCAGACACAAATTTACAGTTTTAATAAAAATTACTAAAAATATTTAGTTTAATTACAATGTTAAATTTACATAATAATGCCGGCAATTGTTTGTGAAATATAAGGTTGGCAAATGCTCCTTCTTGGCCCTTCCATGAGTGTATTTCATATTACATTTTTTAACATCTTTCTCAAAAAAAGTTTTTTTAGTTTTTAGAAATCGTTCAAAAATGCAGCGCAACACGTTAAAATAAGTACCGTATTTTTCGGAATATAAAACGCACCCTTATTTTGAAGACAGTTTTTTTGGGGGGAAAAAGCTACAGT